AGGCAAGGTTAGCTGCCAGCTGAATTCTTAATTTTTGGCAGAGTTTTGTGCATAGCCGGACCAATTGTTACCTCTGTGCAGAACATGAAGTCCCTCCTTGTTCTACCCCTGTCCTTCAGACATAATAAAGTGGAAACACAGAAGCAAGAAGATAAACTGTTGGTAGTGTTTTCTCACTGGCAGCAAGGCAGGATTAAGCTATAGGGTATATGAAAGGGAGGGTTTCAGTGAGATGAAGAGTAAATTCTGGACTATTTTCCTTTAATCTCTGCCATCTGACATGAGGCTCCCATATCTTTTAGCCTGAGAAGACCCCTTTTTGTTCAGTTCAGTTTAATTGCTGCATTTAAATATGTGTGTAAAAAAGCCAGCAAAACCCAATCTGCATGAAAGCAAATTTGATATTTTCTCCCTCTCTTAACATGATCTCATTAATTTCTTGTACTGTTGTGTCCCATGTACTAAGGGTCCCATGCAGAAAGCAAACAGTAAAGCAGCGAGAAGACACATGCTCCGCTAATGGGAAGCCAAGGAGAAAAGTCTGTGAGGGATTACAAGCAGCCTGGGGTTGGAATACATTATTCAGAAATTAGTTTTCAGAATTAAATGCCTGAGGTGTTTTGGCAAAAAACTCCTGATCATCCCTTTCAGAAGCCCTTAAAGCATAAAAGTATAGGAATCTCAAGTCTAGGCTGAACAATCACATTGGGTGAGTTTGCAGTGCTGTAACAGTGAATTGTAGTTTTTACAGCTTTGTACCATTACTGGGACAGCAACTACCACACCTACTGAAATGTAACCCTCTCTATCTGCTTGCACAGACATTTAGCAGGTTTTGAACATCCTCATTAAAGAAGAAAATGGGCCTGAATGAGATTCCAGGGTCTGTTTTCAGGAGGAAGGTTTTGTTTTGTTGAGTGCATAACAGCAGGGAAGTGCATCAGTCTCTCCTTGGGCACAGGCATGCGAAGGAGAAGCAGCGACATGTCTTTTCAGAGATCTGATGTTGCCTAAGGTAGAAATTTGGGGTCCTGTAGCCTTTTTCAGGCATGCTATTTTCTGAATGTTTTTGCTTTAGAAAATCATGATGAGAAGATCAAACTTTAAAAGGCCCTGGGTAGACAACCAGGCTTGGTTACAGGACTGAGGGTAGACAGGAGAAATTGTTTCTCATAGTACTTGGTGGGATTATCCTCCATGCATAGTTGTTCATTATATGCTCAAAAGTCATTGCTAATTTCTTTTGGATATATTGCACATTAGACAGAAGAATTATAAACCCCAGGATTATCACGGGAGGACAGTAAGAGGCCTAAATATTCAGGACAGAAGGGGACTTGTTTTCCTCTTGCATTGAAACAAAGACTTTTTGACAGAATCATTAGAGAGTTTTTTTGCCTGTTTGACAATCCAAGTATATTTGACAGCAAACAAAAGAACAGATCAGTCAGCCAAGTCTTATACTTTATTTTTACTCTTCTAACATAATTAACATATTTCTCAAGGTTTATTTAGTTTCCCAGAGTCTTATTTTATAGAAGTATCATTGGGGAACTTGATTACAAATTCTTGATTCATGCACATAAAGTGAGATTTTGTTATCCTGGGAGAGAAGTCAAGGACAAGGTAAATATAGGAGGAAATAGTTGGGACCAAACTAAGAAATCAGGAAAAATACTATGCCAGCTTTTCAACATGCACTTGTTTTCTTTGCATTCTGGTAACTAGTATCTTATTTCTAAGTCACAGAAATGAGAGTAAAGGGTAATAGTTCATGTTCAGCTTTGAATCTCAGAGATGTTCTTTTTAAAACAACTTCTTTTAATGTTTTTATATATGCTTAATGGGTATCTATAATGAATATTTGGGAAAGTTGAAAATTCTGCTTCTTATTTGTCCTGGGTATTGACTGTCTGTAGATTTCTGAACATTTCTGTCTAGTTTGAGACTGGTCTGTATTTACATAATCTTACTGGTCTGCCAACAAAATAATAAAAAAAAATCCAAAACCACCCAAACAAAACCTGGCACATACAAAACCTTAGAGTAAGCCTAGAACTGAGCCCGGGACTGTTTATGTCCTGAATGAAACTGCATGTATAAAGTACCCTGTGCACAGGAAGCATAGCTGTGAGTTGTCTTCTCCACGAGGCTCTTACCTATCAGCCTGCATTATTTCACTGTTTCACCTCAAATTTTTTTCATGTCTCCAGGTTGTGAGGGAGGCTGGCGTGTGCAAAAGCTCATTTTCCCCCTCCAACTATGTCAGTAATAAAAGAGGCTACAAGTTTGTAGAACATAACTTCCTCTTCTCTTGCAGTTATCTAGTTCACAAGCTCTGGGGGACCAGTGCTTCTTCCACCCAGCCACACTGGGCACCCACCATTGGGGAGACTCTTGGATGTGCTGAGAGATAATAAAGAGGCCATTCTGCCTTGTCTGCAGTCTGGAGCAAGTCACAAGTTCTCTCTCATTGCACACACAAGTTTTGTGAAGGTTAATAATAAAAAAATGCTTCAAAGACAGAGGTTGCCAATTTTAATTAGTATTTTAAGACTTTGTAAGCTCTGCTTCTAAAATTGAAAACTTAGCACAAGAGCCCTGTTTGAAGTCTCCAAGTTAAGAACAAACACTACAAAGCAGAAGTTGACAAGTGAGCTACAAAAATGTAGAGAAAATAATTTATTGTTAACTTTTAAACACTAGTGTTCACAGTACTACCATCATGTAGAAAACTGCTGCTGGGATCTGAGGCTGTTATTCTGTTCCAGTCCAAGTAGATTTAAAACACAAGCAGAGATTAATCCAAACCCCTGATCTCACTGTTTATCTGGGATCGAGACTGTGATCAGAAGAGAGTGTAGTGGTAAAGGACAGCTCCCCGAACCCATGAAATACGTTATCACTGCTAATTAAACTAACTGCAATTTTTCAAAGTCATAATTGGGTAATCCAGTTCTGGATGTGTTTAACAAATGACAATTCTCTCATTAAAAAAAAAATCATGGTTTTAGTTTAATAGGGTTAGTCATATAAAGAGTGATTTTGTGTCCAAAAAACCTTTCTTTCTGACAAACTGTAATTTATGACAATCTAGTTAGCAATAAATGACCCATTCTGTTCTTGGGGAGTAATGTTCCCTCTTAATAGCTGGGTAAATTCTCCTTTGCATTCCTTATCAAGTGACAGCCAGATGGTGCTGGTAAATTCATTCCAGCAGGATTTTAGAATTAGCTGGGTTTGTACTATTGTTAATCCTTTGCTGTCTGTGCCACTTGGACCTACCCATCTGTTTCCAGTAACCCTCAAGTTTGCAACCTTAGGAAATAGTCTAGTCAGATGGCTACTCAGATACAGTGCAGCCAAGAAGCATCCCCAAGCAGTGAGGCCTTCTGTTCTGCATCTATAAGAAAAAGAAAAAAGGCAAAAACTGGTATCTTGTAGAAATAGCCAGCTAGGACTATTGGACTCTGTATTTGTTCCTCAGCACCCTGGTCTCCTTTGATGAAGTTTAAGTTTCTTAGGATTGCATGAGCAATGAGTTCCTCAGTGTGTAGTAAATCTGGAGCTGTGACAGCTGCCATACTGTCACTTACTGACTTTCTGGGCCCGTCAGAGTCTGCAAGACCTATTCCTTCATAATCACTCTGTTGCATAGCAACGATAATTTTGTCTCCAATGTATTGATGGGAAATAATACGTAATCCTTTCACACCAATAAAAAGGAAAACATGGCAGCTCTAGGCTGGGAAACACTGGCTTGTGAAGTAAAAGGATAGTTAATCCTCACTAAATCAAGGGGGGAATGGAGCAAGCTGTAAACTGTCTTGGGCTGAGGCTCTGAGGATACATTAGATACCTGAACCAATTAACCTGTGCTCTGGAGAAGAGTCTAGTTTACACTCCTCCTCCCCATTCTCTCTCTTTTATCTTGTGCAACTGAAGTATGTTTCAGGTGAGCTTTGCTACAACCTTAATTGCTGAAATAAGCATTACTCTGTGATACCATACAAATAACTGGGCACCCCTTCCCTCTGACAGGAAAGAGTGCATGTGCAGCACTTTGCTTATATGGGACTGCAGCAGGTGAGGGTAAAGTTCAGCCACTGCAAATACCAGTTTCAGAATTACATGGCTGGAGTTCCTCAGGCAAATGCCTCTTGCCTGTAGGGCAGTTGTTTGGTACGTCAGTTTTCTGGCCTGATAACTTAGTATTTTTTATATACTTCTAAACACAGGGCTAAAGACAGACTTTGGCAACTCAAACAGGATCTGCTTTGGGGACGCAAGTACAAAGTTAAGGTCAAAACAACTCAGGCAGGGAACACAAAGCTTTGGTCCCAAGTGGGCAAAGTGCCTCCCTGCTGCCATGCCCCTGGCATTTGAACCGGAGAGGGCTCTGCTGCCAGGCCTGACCAGCCTTCCCATTTCCCACTGCAGGCTGGAGCATAGGCTTGTTGGGGTTTGTATCATCTTTCTGACGTACCTTACTGTTGTCCACATTTTGCAGGAAGCCCAAGCTCCTATGACTAGACTTTTAGTTTCTTCCCTGGATAAAATGCTTCATATCCATGAGGCAGCTAAATCCTCCTTGGGCCTGTCTTCATTTTTCTAGCCTGCATGTAGAGTGAAATGTAGGTCAAAATCTGAGGTCAGTAAGCATCTGGTCACTAATTTGAATAGGAGTTGGGAGGTAAGTCCTATGTTATTTACTTACACAACATCATCAACCAAAAGAGTTAATTCAAGCTACTTCTAACACACCAAATGCAAACTTGTCAAATAGGCTTCAGAAATAAAAATCATCTGAATGGAAACTTTGCACTGGATCAGAAGGCCAAGCTGGTATCTGAGCATGCTGCAAGAGCAAAGGCTTCTATTTCCCAAACCTATTGCATAGTTTGTTATCATATATATATAGCAGAGGCTGGAAAATAGCACAGCATTCACTTAAAAGGAGTAGTTACTAATAATCCTCTCTTTTTCTGTCATTTTAATAGTATTCAGGTTTTCAGCAAACAGCAGACAAGTGCTTTGTTTGTGGACACCTCATAATGGAAATGGTAAGAGACCTAAATCCCTAACTGTGGGCAGCTTGCTGTTCACGTACTTTGGGCACAGCACTGTGAGACATTGTGCTTTTCCCTAGTCAGACTATCATTGTGTCCTCACCGCTTTCAATCTAACGTTTGAAACTGAGGCAGTAAATAAAAACACCTTCATGCTCTATTACTTTTAAAGTACAGTAAGTTGGGCTTCTTTTCTACCTGAGATCATGGGAGGCTGTTTGTTCTGCCACATGCCAATTTAAAAACAGAAAGATGAAAAGAATTTTAATACTAAGGGGGAAAAATACAGCATAGCTTTGTATGAGAACATAGTAAAGGAAAATAGGGTGTGCTCTGTGAGATGGTAGAATAGCAAGAGCTCTGTCAAATGAATGGAATCTGGGCTAGAGAGGAGAGGGACAGTAGCAATAGTCCTGAGGTTTGTTGCCTGCTATGTGACTTACATTACCTTCTGCCACTTGCTCCATGTCAGTTAAAATGCATTTTGGCACTGGGATTTGTAGGGAGATAGCAGTGAGAATCAAAGACCTGTGGGTTGGGCCAAATACTTCTGGCATCATTTATTTTGGTGGGTAAAAGTATGAAGAATTTAGTCTGTTCATCTTAATCAGAAATTCCCAAACAAAATGAAGTGGCTTGCACACTGAAGTAGTGCAGATCATGTAGTATATCTATTTTCCTCTTTCTTTAAAAGGTATGTGAACCTCAGTATGCTTAATGGAAGTAGCTATTGTGATGCAAACACAGAGGTTCGGTACGAGCTGGAACAGAGACTTCGCTATCAAGGATTCTGGCTCATATCCTGGCACCAGTGGTTGGACAAGGATATTGTTTGTTTTAGCCCAAGAGCAAATTTCTAGATTTCTGTCATGCTAGGAGGGGTATCCTGACTTGCATGCTTTGCACTGGCCCTTAATGGCAGAATCCCAGACTAGAGTCCATAATATCTCATTGGTGGAGCTCTGTAGCTGGAAGCTTGGCAGGTGCTTGTCTGCCCTTCTCCCATCAGGAAGTGTGCTCTCACAAAAGGAAACAGCTCTGGGAGCTCCAGGAATTAAGCAGTCTTGGTTGGTTAATTCCTTCATGTTCCTCCCTGGGAGCACACATACAATAAACATGCCTGCACAGCAGTGGTGCCCATGTGCATTTAAGGAGCAGGGAGCTGCAGCCCCACAGCCCTGAGCACCCCAGAAGCTGTTCAAGGCTGAAAGTACAGTCGAATTAGGAGCTGTTCTGTGCAAAGGGGTAGCTGCACAACCATGCCAGGTTAACAGTGTGTGTCGCATAGCTGCAAGTTGTTGTGTCACAGGCAAGTTGTTTCTGGCTAGGCTTCCAAACCAAAACTAAACTATAGGGCTTCAATAGAGGGAGGAAAAAGGTTAAATTCAATTAACTTTGTGCATTTTTCTGAGTGGCACTTCTTATTTCCTGTTGATTTGATCTTTATTTATAGAATCATCTACAGGGCCATGGAGATTGGCCTGTGGAGATTTTTCATCTCCAGCTTATTAGCAGCTCCAAGCTGAGCGCTGCTGCTAGCAGATACTTTTTTTAAATTACCTTTCAAAGGTATTTCTTATACCTAAAATGTATGCAGTTGGTGCTGCCTGAAGATGATACCATGTCTCACTCTTCCCAGAGGCTTGTTCATGGGCTTGGTGCATCCTCCTTGATGTCCCAGTGCCACAGTGAGGGTTATAGACAAGGATGCCAGGAGGGTGGGGATTTGTTCTGTAGTGGTATAGCTGAGACTGACTGCATCAGGCCCTTCCTTGAAACCTTTAAAATGCAATAGAGAAGGTCAGCATGGGAAAAGCCTGGGCAGATGGATGGCTCTGTATCCAAACACGTGGATACATATGGAATTTTAACAGAAACTGATGGGCCCCTATGACTGAGTGATAACCAGTCAGTAACTGTGGTGGATTAGGATCCATAAATAATGAAGGGACACCTATTTATTTAGATGACTGGTATTTACTTTTCAAGTTTGCGTAATGACTGGTTTGGATTCTGTCTGTCACAACCTGTTAAGTTTTGTGAATTAACTCTGTATCCCAGTAGCTTGTGTTTGTCTGCAACATATTTTCCAATAAATGGTTGCTGAAGCTGTTTTTAATTTCTGTTGGCAGTACTGGCCCTGCAGAGCTACAACTGATGGGTGTTGGACTGATTTTCAGTTTGCTTTCTATATTGGGAGCCAACTGAAACCCAGTGAAATAAGCAAGTTGATTGTTTTAAAAGGCCTCTTGCTGACAGATCTGCAGAGTAGTAATTTCATCTTGAAGAGCTTTTCTCACCATCATTATTAGGAATCAGACACGGCAGTGTATGGGGGTTGGATCTCATGTAACCATGCATCTGCTTGTTTTGCTGTTTGCCTCCTCTTAAGATCTTGCAGACCCTTGGAAAATCATACCATCCTGGCTGCTTCCGCTGTGTGGTGTGTAACGAGTGTTTGGATGGAGTCCCTTTCACTGTAGATGCGGAGAACAATATTTACTGTGTCAAAGACTACCATACGTAAGTATGCAAATCCATCGATGCTTAGAAAAATTATAGTAGTTAAATTATTGGTGTATTTATAAGCCTTATAATTATAAGCCTATGCAAGTTGTACATAAAAAGGGTCATTCCTGTTTGCTCAGACATCCCTCAAGTGCTGCTCTCACATGTTGGCATTTGTAAAGTATTTTAAGGTTATATTAAACGTCACTTCATGGGCCCAGTGCAGCATACAGTGACCAAGTGAGGTTGAAAATAAAGTTATGTCAGAGGATGTACTTTTCTGGTGGCTGTTTCTCTACTTCTTTCAGGACTTTTAATACTAATTAGATCAGGCTAATTCTGCAAGTGATGGTAGGTTTCTGCTGGCTGTTTCTAAGAATTGACATTCTGGTAGTGCATGACACTGGTGAGTGTAAATTAGGTTAACCTAGACTAGACAGTAGACATGTAATTCACAGCTAGTGTTAGAATGATTATAGCCTCACCTGACAAAAAAGTTTTATGGTTTAAGTAATTGCATTTGGACTCCTTTCTGTTTTCACTCAAAGGCAATATGCTCTTAGCTCCATTCAACCAGTAACTCGGCTTATGCTGCAAGAGTACTCATCCCTATTGGTATCAAGGTGGCTGTGTTACAAGGACAGAGTGTTGGCCCAGTGACTATCATAAAATGCAGCTGTAGATAATAAGACCGGTTGATGTATTTGGTTTATGTAGATCCTAGCCGTGATCAGCCCCTCTCCTATTTAGCATAGTTATGTCTTCCTGATGTCAGTGACAGTCCCCAAATCAGGAGCTGCTTTGCAGTCAAAGCAGTGAACCTCTGGAAGAATTTTAATGGCTTTATGAGTAAAGGAAGGTAAGAGAAATGGCATATGTGGGAAGAGGGATGGGTTCACTATGCCTAGTTGTCAGGAAGAGCTAAGCAATAAAGCTGGATTAGATCGGTCTCCTCCAAATCTCCTTTTTCCCTGAATATCATCAAACATTTAGAGGAGTTTCAAATCCTGTGCATCTACATTTTGCTAAAAACAAGGCATGATTAGAATAGGTCTTTTGGTTGTACTTTCTGAAGAAGCTTTAAATGTGATTTGAACATTTCTTCTTGCACCCTAGGGTTTTTGCACCAAAATGCGCTTCCTGTAACCAGCCGATCCTACCAGCACAGGTACATGTTAACATGCATTGACTCTTTAGAGAAATCAGCTGTTGGCATATGAACACTTTCTAAAACCACATTTGATGCTTTTCCTCCCTCTTCCAGAATCTATACTATGTCAGACACTAAATTAAATACAGTTCAGAGTAATGTCACTCCCAAACATTTCCAGTGGTTGTAATAGTCATACTACTTATGCAGCTTAGTACTTTGTATCTTTAGGGTGCTTTTCAGCTCTTAATTATGCTGTTATAAATGTCATTTAATTGAAAGCTCTGACTGGGGCTCCAAGAGCAACCTAAGAAGCCCTGTTTATTTTAAAAATCTCCTATTAGCTCAAGTAGAAATTTTCCTTGTCTGCTACATCTGCATTTCTGATGTGTATCTGTCAAGATGCTCAAATTTGAAAAGACAGCTGAGGTTTACTCTGATCCTGTGAGAAGGCCACATAGTCTCTTGTCCTGGGGTGGCAATGTAATAAAAGTGCTTACAAGGGTGGAGAAGGCAGCAGAAAAGTTGGCTAAGAGGGAAGCCAGGTGAAGATATACTTGCAACCTCAGCTTATCCTGACAGTACAGTTAGCACGATAAGACTTCTGCATTAAGACATCCTTTTTCTGCCTGCCCGCAGTGGTGCTCCCTCAGACACTCAGGGTGAAGGACTCTCTGAATTCCCATTGCTGAGCTCACTGACTAGATCATTTGTAAGCAGAGGCCTCAGCACCTCCCTCCTTTTCCTCTTGTCAAGTTTATAGAGCTTACATCCTATAAGCTGCTGTGCCTGGGGCTAGAGCTTCTCAGCATGCCTACCTCCATCACTCTGCATGTTACTCTCATTTGTCATTATTATTTCTGTTACATGGCCAGGTCTCACATAATTCAAAACCTCATAAAAGTTGAGCCAGAACTTTTTTCTGGTGATGGGATATGAGGAGAAAACCCCTATGTAAATTTCACTGGATTTGTGTCTTACAAACTTACTTACAAAGAAAAACAACAGGTGGGAAAGAAAAAGCAGTCTTACTGCTGACTCATCTGATGTCTAGCAGGATAGACTCCATGTTCCCATGGAGGTTTCTTAGGTTAGTTCAGGTCTAGCAGTGCAGGTACTAACTTGCCCATAGCTTCTCTCAGACATAGTTTACATTATATCTGATGCTCTAAATGACACCTGGAACTGGAAAAAGTGCAAGACAAGAGATCAAGAGATTTAATGAGCTCTGACTTCAGAGGCTTCAGAGTGGATCAGGGAGTCTGTGAGGTTACAAGAAGGATATAGGCTGCTCTGCAGGGCCTGGGGCTCAGCCAGTAATTATACAACTTCACTGCACCCACCCTCATGCTGAGGTTTTGGCCTGTGCACATAATTACCTGATGGACTGGTATGTAACTCCCTATGGAGCACATACATGTGCATTAGCAAAATAGCTGTGCAGCAGATGGTTTGAGGGGAATACAAGTCCTGGAAAACTCAGGCCAGGATGTCTATAAGGAAAAATTATCCAATCAGCAGATCATAGTTTTTGGCTGGTAATTCATTCAGAACCTGGGTGCCCTTGGAAAATTATTTGATCTCAAGACAAGTTTCTCCCTTGAGGATAAAGTATTGGCTACACTTCCCAGATTACCTCTACAGCTTAGATATATCAGACACCCATGCTGCTCCTAAACAGCAAAACCAGTGGTGCAGGGCTGTGCACCAGGGACAAGACCCCCGCAGTGGTCACAGAGCCCTTCTCTGTGGAGGAGGGAGGGGATCCCTCGGGGAAACAGCTCTGCAAAGCAATAGGCTGGGCACTGAAAGAAGATTGAGAAAACACCACTTAAAAGCCCACTCTTACCTTCTCTCTGCTTCCCCAACAGGGCTCCGAGGAGACCATTCGCGTGGTGTCAATGGACAAGGACTACCATGTGGAGTGTTATCACTGCGAGGTAAGCTCCAGCCTGCCTCATGGCAAGGCTTTGCTAATACCTAGCAGCCTCTTGGTAGGTGCCTGACTCGCACCTCAAGGTGCACTTGCTGGGTGTTGCACACCTGGGCAGGTAGGGCTCTGCCCCACAGCTCCTGGAGGGAGGCAGAGGGAGTGATGAGTGCTAGCTGGTCTGCAAGTGGTGCTGCCATCCCCAGTACCAAATCAGTTTGGGTTTTGGTTTAGTAGAAAAGAGATAGGGATACCACTATATTACTTTTTGGGGAGTAGTTCCTTTTTGTGCAGAAAAATTAAACTTTTATTGGAGCAGATCAAGTTGTGGGATTAATGCTCTTGCTTTGGAGAGGAGAGCTGAGTTCAGTTCTAGCTCTGCATCCAGAGGCATGAGGAGGGGAACAAACTTTAATTTGGGATCAACCCAAAACTCCCCTTTTGCAGTAGGCTTGGCACTCTGATATAACAAGCAAATATCCACACTGATACTAACTGTGCTACCTGTCTTAGCAGCAGAGGCAGAAATGCAGCAATGCTATCTTCCATGCACATTTGCAAAAAAGGTTTTACAAAGAGACTTCCAATTGAGGGAGAAAAAAACAAAATTCAGAGCATCTTGAAATGTATATGAATCTAAATGTAAGGAAGACCCCATCCACTCAGCTGTCTCCTTCCAACAGAGATACCCGATACTCCATCCTTCTCTATTAAATTTTAACGAGAAATTGGCACAGGAAATCACACTATTTTGGAGAGCTGTACTTCCCTCCTCCTCCTTTCCCCATCTATTGCTTTGTGCAGGCTTCACCTAAGATGACAGCTCCCTCCTCTCTCAGGCTACTGACTTCATGTTAGAATGTCCTAATGGGGGGTTATTTTCAGTTCTGTTTCATTATTCATTTCCCCATTCTCCTTCCAGTTTGAGGCAAATCAAGCTGCTTCCACATCTGCCCAGAATGGCAGAGCGCATTTATGTACAGAAATCAGAGGTTAGCCATGTGTTAACAGGGGTCAATTACTGCCTAATGGTCTCAAATCAGGTTCTCAAGTTGTACATGCTGGGTCACTGCTGTCCCAGAATCATGCTAGAAAAGTCAGTGCCAGTATTTTGAGGTATTCACATGGAGACTTCTGAAAAGGCTCTGACAACTTGCCAGCCACTTCTGAAATGCTGTTAAAGTCATCATAACCTCGTGGCCATGCAAAGGTCAGTGGGCAGTGTTGAAACTTTGCTGCTTTTCTACATCATCTCTTTCTTGTACAACCACTTTTCTGCTGAGAACTTTAAGCAGGTTTATAGATCAATATGCCCCCATTCTAAAACTGAAATCCACTGAGAAGGCATGCTTTCTTACTGCAGAAAAGGAATCCAGTTCTGGAGAGGGGAAAAAAGGTATGAACACTTGGTGCATCTGTAGAGTATCTAAAATTGGTGAATTCTAATGAGGAATTGAATTTTAAATATCACATAAAGGATTACAAAACTACCTTGGCAGAAACTGTGATTAAAGCCTCCCTAAACTAACACTCCAGTTTTAAAGCTTACTTTAAAACCCATTTTTCATTCTTATTTCAGCATTGTAAACTTTAAGGATTTTAACTTGAGCTATGAAATCTAAAAAAAATCATACATTTTGTCCAATTAAAAACTTGGCATCAGTTTTCAATACTGAAGTGACCTATACACCCAAATTATAATGATGACAGCTGAAAACCAGGATTGTCTCTATTGCAGCATACATAATAGCAGGCAGGATCGTTGTTCTTTTTATCTCTGTTCCTCCACTACAGTTCATCCATTTTGTCCCTGTTCTGGTTCCAGGGGTAAAGATGGACCACTGGCCTTGAAGTTAAACTTTTTAAATTCCAAATTACAGAAAGTGTAGCCCTGCTTCAGATGTAAAACATGTCTCATCTCCCCCTCTTCCCCATTCACTCTCATTCTCTACTTATGCTACTCCATTTCTTGCCTGCTGCCTTGTTGCAAAATTAGCTCCTTCTCTGTCCTAATCTCTTCCTGGTTGTATGCGTCAGGGTCAGTCCTTGGCCTGTTTTGGTTTTTTTTTTGTTTGATTTGCATCAACATTTATTAGAAAAATAAAAGACCAGAATGGAAAACAACAGGGAAAAAAAAAAAAAAGCTGGGTCCTGTTTGATTTCAGCAATATCATTTTGCTTAATATGAGATAGTCATGGTCCACCTGCCAAAAACTCTTGAGGTTGTTGGCTTCAGAGGCATGGGAGGGAGCTCTCAGGCTTATGCTGGGTAGGTCAACATTGTGAGATGACCTACCTGGGATGTATATGTTTCTTCTAGGATTGTGGCTTGCAGCTCAATGATGAGGAAGGCCATCGTTGTTATCCATTAGAGGGCCACTTGCTCTGCCATGGCTGTCATATCAGGCGCCTTAATATTGAACTGCCATCACATCCACCTCCAAGCTATCCGATGCATATCACAGAACTCTGAAAGACATTTCCATTACCAGTAAGCCATTTGAAAGAGAAGACAAATCTAAAAATTACTTTCCTGTTCCTTTAAAGATGAGATTCCAGTAATAATCATCTAAACCAGCTATTTATTTTTAAAATCAGAGGTGAGGGTTCCTTTTCTGCATTACCACTAAACTGTAACTGTAAATGGCAGCATTTCTAAAGCAGTGGTATAAAGGGCTGTTCTGCAATCCCTACTCACATTCCTCCAGTGGAGATTTCACCCAAGTAAGCGTAGAATTACTTTCCAAAAGTTAGCACCTTATCATATTGCAGCAAGCACGATAAGATAAATGCTAACATTTTAGCTAGTTTTATTGAATTCTGGTCTTAGAGAATACAGGCTCACATTTTTTAAAACTTAGGAAGCAAACAAGTGGTTTTAGTAAGGACATTATCTGCATGGGTTAAATAATAGCATTCTCTGAAGAAGCATCAGTCCAGCTTTCCGTCCTACAATGTTCCACAGTCATCCAAAGACTACTTAACTTGTTGAAGAAATATGGCAAGCATCTCTTATAAAAACTATGTTACAGAGGATTATATCAGAAAAGTTGGCACATGCAGGGTCATAGCAGTTGAAGAAATTACAGACCTCTGTAATTGCTTGCAATGTACAACTGTAGCCATGGTTTCAAAATACATTCATATCAACTTGATGATTTGGCACTTACTAAAGAATTCATCTTTCGAAGCTGTTTTTTGTTTAACAGGGTTAGCTGCCCCTTTCTATGCAAAGGTACACTTGTCTTTATACTACTTGTTTTATACAAGACTTCATTTGTTACCAACTTTATGGCTGTATGCTGATATATTATTAAAAAAAGAGGGGACAGTGGGTTTTGTATTATCTTTTCAGCTTTGTGAAGCGAAAGCTTCTCTTAATGATTTTCTTAAGGAGTATTTTTTATGTTAAATCAGTTCAACACAGAGGTAAATTTTCTAGAGTTCATTTTATGATGCGATTGTTCTTTAGAGGCCTTTACTGTACTTTCACACTATTTCCATAAAGTTAAAACAATAACAACTTGTTCTCATTTGCATCAGGACTACACCTTTCCATTTTGGTAAGGAATGTTATAAAGTCCCTACAGCACAAAGCTGTTGTAGGCAATTCAGAGTCCCTCATACACTGGAGTACACATTCCAAAGAAAGGACCAAAATAATAATGTAAAAAAATACCAAGAATGTACTCATATAATTGAGCTTTCAAAGAGGGTTTGTTTGGGTTTCTTTCCTTTTCCTTTCACTTGTGTGCATGTGTGTGTATATATTTAGTAAGGTGGAGCTTCAAAAGGAAAAAACATGTTAAGAGGAGCTCTTTAAGACCAGAAATTCCAGAGTAGCAAAGTAAACCAAAGTTCTAAAGGAGACAAAAGCTGCTTTCTGGTGCTTCAAGAAAAGTTTAAGTTTGTGATTCATCTTATAACTAATGCCGTAACTACAGTATATAATTTGACTTAAATTAAGTTTTCATTTGAGAAATATTTATGTTTTCTTCCAAGAACTCAGACCAGTGTTGATTTTTGTTTTGTAGGAAGTATATAAATTCCCAGTTTGTATATCATGTAAATAGATTACATACTGAAAATATACATTAGTTTAACTACTTTTGTGTATATATATGTATCTTCATAAAACCTTTCAATATGCTTCTGTCTTAGTCTTTAGAATTAATTGTGGTTTTCTGTTTCAGTGTTTAATTCCCTTGATTGTTGAAGAAAAAAATTGGGAAATGTAGATTTATTTATCTAAAGAAGCAGCTACTTGCTGTCATTTTAAGTTATTTAATATTAAAGTCAGAAGTTTCATTTAACCTTAGACGCTATAATCTGCTTTTTTTCAATAAAGACACTTTTTAATGATCTTTGATTTTTGTAGTTTGATGCATATAAATTGGTTTGGGTTTTTTTTTAAATGTAGATGGGCACTAAAACAAGTTTCAGGAGACCCCTGTATTGCCTACAGAAATGCCTAACTGATATTAATTGATCACAGCTGCATTCATGAAATATTCTGGTCCTCCAGTACAAGTGTTACTAATTAAGGTCTAAAATATGCCCACAGCTAAGGTTTTGCAGCTGCACTTAGAAAAGAATTTAGCCTCTCTGGCAATTTTTAATTAAGCTTTAACCAGTCTGGCTAGTTCACATGTAGGACAGTCAGTACTGAGGAACACTTCCTTCTCAAGGCTCACATCATTTTTTAGAATGTTCCAGAAGAGGAGTACTGCCTGGGCTATGAACTTGCAAAATGTTAAAGCACTCAGACATGGGGGGTGGGATGGGATTTTCTAGATATTCTTGCTAAGTCACAGTAATTCAGAAACCACAGTCAGAGCTCTCATAGGATCAGAGATGCTTTTTTATATATCTTACCTTTATGAAGCTCTTTGCCACTTTGTTGTCTTCAGCTTCATGGCACAGATGAGAGCTTGGTTACATTTGTATTCTGCACACAGGTGGTCCTGCAAGAGAAGTTCTTATCTATCAAGCAAAAGGTTCATTGGCACTGGTATCTTGTCTCCACAGCCATAAGCGAATGCCTGGGGAAAGAGTACAAAAACCAGTTTCTTCCTGGTTTCCTCACGTTCAGTGGGTTTCCTTTCCATCAAGCTGGTCAGTCTGCCACCTTTAGGGATGCTCATTCCCCCAGTGACTCAGAAAAATCACAATATTCACAAGCCTCTACTTTAGTGTCATGATATCCTCTTCAAAGAGGCCTGCTCTACAGCTCTGTCATCCTGGCTTTGCAAAATACAACTGACAACATTTGGAAATGAAATTTTCTGGTGTTTTTCACACAGTGGCTATTTTGACAATTTTTTCTTTTGCACAATCAGAATTTACAAGCACAATTGTTTTAGGGACTTAGTCTGAACTTCTGTGCTTTGAAACAGATGTACTACATTTCTGTAGGGCCTTCACATACATGCTATTTTCTCACTCTCCTAATTTTTTAAAAATTCATTCAAAATGAGCAATTCATGCCCTTGAATTTAAAAAAAAAACAAAAAGGCACTAAGGCTGGCCAGATGTTAAGGATAACAGGAAGGGATCCTATAGGTACATAGCGAATAAAAAACAGACTAGGGACAACGTAGGCCACCTCCGAAAGCTATCGGGAGAACTGGCTACCCTGGGTTTGGAGAAGGCTGAGGTTCTTGATGACTTCTTCGCCTTGGTCTTCACTGGCAAAGGCTCTGACCACACCACACCAGGGACTGTGAGAATGAAGATCCTAGGCCCACTGTAGGAGAGGATCTGGTTTGAGACCATCTTAAAAACCTGAATGTACAGAAGTCCATGGGACCTGATGAAATCCATCTGAGGGTCCTGAAGGAGCTGGCAAATGAAGATACTAAGCCACTGGCCATTATATTAAAAAAATCATGGCAGTCAGGTGAAGTTCCCGATGACTGGAAAAAGGGAAATATAACCCCCATTTTCAAGAAGAGGAAAATGGATGACCCGGGGAATTACAGACCAGTCAGTCTCACCTCTGTGCCTGGCAAAATCCTGGAGCAGATTCTCCTGGAAGGCATGCTAAGGCACATGAAAAACTACAAGGTGCTTGGTGACAGCCAGCATGGCTTCACTAAGGGGAAATCCTGCCTGACCAATTTGGTGGCCTTCTATGATGGGGCTACAGAACTGATGGACAGGGGTAGAGCAGTTGATGTCATCTACCTGGACTTGTGCAAAGCATTCGACACTGTCCCACATGACATCCTTGTCTCTAAACTGGAGAGACATCAATTTCTTAGGTGGACCACTCGGTGGATAAAGAGCTGGCTGGATGGCTGCACACAAAGAGTTGGGGTCAATGGCTCAATGTCCAGCTGGAGACCAGTAACGAGTGGTGTCCCTCAGAGATCGGTGTTGGGACTGGTCTTGTTCAACATCTTTGTCGGTGACATGGACAGTGGGATTGACTGTGCCCTCAGCAAGTTTGCCAATGACACCAAGCTGAGTGGCTCAGTTGATATGCTGGAGGGAAGGAATGCCATCCAGAGGGACCTTGACACACTTGTGAGGTAGGTTGACGCCAACCTTATGAAGTTTAACCATGCAAAGTGCAAGGTTCTACACCTGGGTTGGAGCAATCCCAGGCACAGCTACAAGTTGTGCAAAGAAGAGATTCAGAGCAGCCCTGCGGAGTAGGACTTGGGGGTGTTAGCTGATGAGAAAATGAACGTGAGCTGGCAGTGTGCACTCACAGCCCAGAAAGCCAACCATATCCTGGGCTGCATCAAAGGGAGCGTGACCAGCAGGTCAAAGGAGGTGATCCTGCCCCTCTACTCTGCTCTCGTGAGACCCCACTTGCAATACTGCATGCAGTTCTGGTGTCCTCAACATAAGAAAGACATGGAACTGTTGGAGTAAGTCTGGAGGAGGGCCAGAAGGAAGATAAAGGGTCTGCAGCACCTCCTGTATGAGGACAGGCTGAGAAAGTTGGGGCTGTTCAGCCTGGAGAAGAGAAGGCTGTGTGGAGACCTCATAGCAGCCTTCCAATATCTGAAAGGGGCCTATAGGGATGCTGGGGAGGGACTCTTCATTAGGGACTGTAGCGACAGGACAAGGGGTAATGGGTTAAAACTTAAACAGGGGAAGTTTAGATTGGATACAAGGAAGAAATCATTTACTGTTAGGGTGGTGAGGCACTGGAATTGGTTGCCCAGGGAGGTTGTGAATGTTCCATCCCTGGCAGTGTTCAAGGCCAGGTTGGACGAAGCCTTGGGTGGTATGGTTTAATGTGAGGTGTCCCTGCCCATAGCAGGGGGGTTGGAACTAGATGATCTTAAGGTCCTTTCCAACCCTAACTATTGTCTGATTCTGTGAAAGCATTTTCACAGTGCCTCATCACATGGGTGACACAAATGTAGTCAATAGAATGTTGCAGTACTCCCTGCCATGGTATCTGAGCCACAGGGAAGTGTGTAACTGGAAGCTGTTGCATGATGAATGCTAAATCTGGCATGCAGATTATTCAGGAGTGCTTTTTGCTAGCCCTGCACTTCACCTTACCAGATGTCTGCACAACTTGGATGTTGAGTAGGACACAGTCTTCTCTGGATGCCTAAGCTGGACATGAAAGTGACACACATTAAGCAGAGGGCATTTGTTTCTGAAATAAATTGCAGGTCATTCCTCAGTCAGCACTACTGGGCTTATCATCAGATGAATTATGTATTTTTAAAAGCTATGGAGATAACTACAATTTTTGGTAAAACTCCAGAAGACCCAAAATATTTTCTTACTCTTCAAAACTCGAGAACTGCTTTGAGCGCTAGGATAGTATCTTGACATCTATTCATTTAACACTAGGACAACAAAAATAAGTTGCCGTATTGTTTAAGAGCACATAATAACTAACACGTGCCTGCATTTTCCCTGTGCTGCCAGTCTGTGTCTCATTGGAAGAAAATACACTGCATTAGATAACATAAATCACTGTGCTCACATAACCAGCAAAGGAGAAGTATGAACTGAAAACTGTACAAAAAGAAAGAAACCACATGGAGAGCTGCTTTTCAAGAAACAATAAGTATCTATCCAAAAAGATTTTTAACAACAAATTCATAAAGGTTTGTCTCGTGGCTGAAAAAAATCCAAAAAAGCCCATGTTGTGGTTTAAGTCCAGCCAGTAACTCGGAACCATGCAGCCACTCGCTCACTCCCCCACTTCTATGCACGCCCCCACCCTCCTGCTCCCAAAGGGATGGGGAGGAGAATCGAAACAATGAAAATCCCATGGGCTGAGATAAGAACAGACCAGTAAATAAGGTATAATACAAAACCAGTATTATGACCACCACCAATAACAATAATGATAAGTGGAATAACAAGGGGAGAGAATATGAATATAAGAATATGAGAGAAGTGGTGCACATTACAATTGCTCACCACAAGCTGACCAATACCCAGCCTGACCTGAGCAGCAATCGGGCCTTCTGGTTATCGCCCCCCCAGTTTATATACTGGGCATGACAAGCTACTGTTTGCCTTAGGGGAATTGATCTAAAAAAATGAATACTCAAGTGAAGCCAAACCAGAGATCATAAATACTTTTTTACTTTTTCAGACAGCATTATTAGAATGTTTTTTTTATAAATTAACGAACAGGAGTATTAGAAAGGCTTACGTATTTCCTATGTTAAAGCTAATGGACTTCGGGAACTTCTCCCACTTTTGAATGAATGAAGGCTAAGCCAGGTTACATATTTGTGTGCATAAGGTGTGTTTAGGTAGCATAGAGAGAAGAAGGACCAACCACGCTTATCTGAAAGAATAGAAAATCAAATTAATTGCCAGTTCTACAGGATTTCTTTCTCTAAAACCCCCTGCCAAAAAACAAACAAAAAAAAAAAAGAACCCCCCCAACACCACCAAAAAACTACCCAACCCCCCCCCAAAATCCCAAAACAAAAATAAAATAAAAAACACAAACCCACCCAACAGAAAACAACAACCAAACCAGTCAATTGCTTAACTGCTTACTTTCTAAAATGTCTGTATTGCCTGAAGAAACTTCAGTCTAAAAAAGTTAATTTTGCTTATATCTGTTTTAGTTTATCTTTAAGCACTCAGCACCAGGCTGCACCACTCCAGAGTAAAAAGTTGAAAATGGAAATCGGGTATTTCTTTGGTGCAGCTCTCCTTATTTAAAGAGAGCATACCCAGACCCTGCTCCTCTGATATAAATACCTGGTACTAATAACAACAAACAGACACCTTACAAATTCCAAGCACACCTTTTTATTCAGGTCTAGGTCCCAGGAAATCCTGTCTCTCTGCCCAGAACCTCTTCCCTTACCTCCTGACTCCTCTTCCCCTGCTGTGCACACCCCCACAAGCTGCAGCTCAGCACTCCCTGATCACAATACACTTTCTACCACTCCCAAAGAAATTCTCCAGACCCCCCCCCAGCTTGTCTTCAGCTCATCCCATTGCCTCCAGCTCCCTATTGCTTTCTGCCACAACTCCAGAAAAGGATTTTCATTTGTTTTTCTACTTGCTACGAAAGAATTTACCTTATTTTACTTACAGCATTTACAAGGCCTATGATTGCTCACATATCAAAAAGCTATGACTGCTATAGTCCTAAGGATACAAGGACAGAATTAAGCTAAATAGAAAAAAATGGAATTCATGATATATCTGTAGGCTGACTGCCCTATCACCATTCCTTACATGCCCTCTGCAAGCACTCAAAATTAGACTCTGGAAGTAGACATGCATGTTTTTATTTGCTGCTGTACTGTACTAGGGAAGGAAAACACCTACCTGGCAGCCTGCTCCAGGCCCCTCTTTTCCAAGCTCAACTCTGCATTTATAAAAGCAGAAGAACAACATTAATGAAATAGCCTACAGTAATTACTGTAAGCCATTGACAATAAAAATAGGTGCCAGTACAAAGTAACTTTACAGTGAACACTGATGCTATGTCATATCCCCCCCCCCAAATAACTGACTGTCCTAGGTTCAGCTGCAAGTTGTTTTTCCCCTTCCTAGTAGCTGGCACAGGGCTGTGTTTCAGTTTCACTCTGAGAACAATGCTGATAGCGACAACTAAAACATTGGTGTGTTAAGTAACACCCCAATCAAGGACTTTCTCAGTCTCATGCTCTGCCAGTGAGGAGAGGCACAGGAAGCCAGGAGGAAGCAGAGACAGGACACCTGACACAAACTAGCCAAAGAGGTAGTATTCCATACCACAGCATGTCATGCCCAGTATATAAATTAGGGGGAGTTTCCCGGAAGGCCCAGTTTGCTGTTCGGGTCAGGCTGGGCATTGGTCAGCAGGTGGTGAGCATTGTGCATCACTTGTTTATTGTTGGTTTCCACCCCCCCCACTCCCCCCCCTTCCATTTTTAGTTTTATGTTCTCTCCCCTTATTTCCCTTATTATTAAGTAGTAGTTTTGTATTATACTTTAGTTATTGGACTTTTCTTAACCTGTGGGATTTACGTTCTTTCAATTCTCCCCTCTATCCTACCTGGAGCAGGTGGGAAGAAAAGGGGGAAGCAAGAAAGCAGCTGTATGGTTCCGAGTCACCAGCTGGGCTTAAACCACAACATTGACAAAGTTATTATTTAACTGTGCGCTATTCATGAAGTGGAGTTCTCACAGCTGCTTAGCTGAACAGACAGCTTTCAAATTACAGGATGCCGGAAGATAATGTTTTGTTGCAAGAATTAAGCAATCTTTTCCCCTTCGGTATTTGTTATGCAGCCTGCCCCAATGCAGAATGCATTCAGCTTCCTATTATTCACTGTTGAACCTGTCATCACTCAGAACACTGATTTGCAACACCAGGACAATAAACAACAGCTAAGTTGCAGGCCTGGAAGCCTTCCCCAACACTACAGCATGCTGTCCAACAGTTACAGCCACACAGGCTAAGGACCTAGAATATTCCAACAGACACAAGAAACTAAGCTGGTTTTACAGCATCCCCACATTCCATAGTTTTGGATGCCATTCTAGACTTTCATGTGTTACAGTAAAAACTGTACTTAGTCCTATCCCACTCCTGATCAGCATCAGCTATAGCTGTCTATAGACATCTTTTATTAGACATTATTTACAGTTTCTACTGCAATGTTTTAAAGAATTTGCTGTGGAGTATAGCTCTAGAAACATACTGACAGCAATCCTTCAGCCTTTAAGGCAGCTTAAACTGCTATGCTAGGCCTGTAGAGCAAACTTGCTCTTCAAAATAACCCCTTACAACATAAAAGCAGGTTCCACCTGAAAAAAATCTTACTCATTTCCCAATCCCTCTTTCTCCTGCATAAGTCTTTATGCAGTATGTTGTACAGTTAATATTGCTACAGATTGGTCTTAACTCGATTAGTTCCTGATTAGTCTTCTAATTTTAAGACTGACAAACTCCTCATAAAGCTGCTGCTCTCTGCATGGAACTCTACCATGAGCCTTGGTGCAGTCTGCATTAGACCTAGGGCTCCTGTACATGAAGATATCTGCCAAGAACAGTCTTGTATCTCCAGTATAGGAAAATTAAGAGGCAGTCAGCCTTTTGCTTAACAGATGCCATTCAAACTGCCTACTAAGTGTTTCTAGAAGTAATTTTCCCCATTCTATAAAAGAAATTATTTTCCCTAACTCTGAGAATGTGTTGCACCTGCTATTTTACTCATTACTGTCTCTTCATTTGATTAAAAATACTATAAATGCAAAGGTCCTTAGCTAAAGTCATATCTACAAAGTGATTATGCATGGCTGAACAAGGATACATGGTGACTGCAAATCTATTTAAAACTCTTAAGCCTTTGCTCTAACACTTATAATTGTCTTTTCTCCAAGTCATGACAGATTAAGGAATACCACAGTCTAAGTATACAAGAAACTTATCAAGGATACTTACCCCCACTGATCATAACTGTTAACATCCCAGACAATTCCTTGAACAAATATCTTGTGCTCATACATGGCTATAAGCAGAAAGATTTATCAATTAACTTTATGATAAAGTCTCAATAAGCATTCACAGATGAGAGATCTATTTACTCACCAATGACGGCTCCCAGAGTGAATGGGTTGAGTTTAGTAAATATGATGGAGTTGGTTGGTCGATTCCCCTCAAAGACCTTTCAAAGCAAGAGTTACATTTTCATCTAGTATGTTCTAAAACTTAGATTAAAAAATTTGTATTTTCCTTACAGCCCACATGGTACTAGCTGTATTAGCAGCAAAACTAAATCCTGAACACTTTAAAGGCTAACAGCTTCAACCATAAAATGGTATAATTTTCATGTTTTATTACAAGCACAATGCCAAAATGTTACCTCCAAGTACTATTACTACTACAGTCTACAGGAAGTAAAATACAAGTTAATATCCTAGGGCCAGTGTTAAGATACCTCATCTTTTCTAAAGTGTCTCAAAAGGCTTCCAGATAATCACACTTCAGCATGAATACTTTTCACAGACTGCTCTGCAAGACCTGACAAGGTAGAACCTGTAACAAACTTCACAGCTGTCAAGACAGTAGCACTTGACAGCCATCAGAGGGTACTGCTCCATTAGCAAACTCCAGCTAGCAACAGACCACCATGTTATCTAGTCAGAGGAAAGCTGTCAAGTGCCAAAGCCTGGTTACCTTATGGGGAAGGAGTTTCTCCAGAACATCTCCACTCAGTCCTGCTGCTTGAAGTTCCTTAAAAGCTTCATCAGCAGTTTTTCCTTTCATCAAGGCCTCAGTCTGAGCAAGGAAGTTGGCTATGATTTGTAAGCGGCGAGGAGAAGCAAGACACGCCAACCCAATATGGGTGATAAACAAACTTCTACTTTATTTGTGGCGCAGTTCACTTATATAGGCGTGGTATTTAGCCACGCCTCCTAGGCACAACAGTATTGATTAGATCCACACAGCTTCCTCCACATTCTCCTCCCACGTCCGGTTTCCAGTTACCTGTGAGGCCTACCCCTTGCCTTGCTCACACAAGGCCTCTAAGGCTCCATGGCCTTGCTCTTAGAGCCATTCTGCAACAATTCCCCCCTTTTTCTTTGTGTGAGCAAGACATTGTGGGTTATTCTGTTCACCTGTTTTATCACACAACTATAAGCAAGTCTAATAGCTACAATGATTAACCTAACAATGATACATAAGCTCAGTACTTCAAACAGCAGTGTTTAAGTCAACCTGTAATGCCCCATGAGGACAACCATCTAGTTATCCCTAGGTTATTGCTCACTTACGATTGCTGGGTAAGCTGAGCCAGGGTTCTCAGCTGTGCGTGCATCGAATTAGAATGATCAGAGAGATTCATACAACACATTCCATCAAACTCTTCACATCCATGTCCCTGTTCCAACAACAAAGGTTCTGCAGTGTTGCATGTCTTACATAGTCAACATTAAACAACAAATCAGAGATTGCCTTCGATGCAGGATTTGTCTGCTTAGCAACTCAGCAACCCAGTCTGTTTAGCTGCACCAAGGCCCCGTCCGATGCCGTACCTGGCACGAGGAAAGAAACTGTTACAATAGTGTCAGGTGACCAAAACTTACATCAGATCTACAGTTAGCAGTAAGACTAAGTACAAAGTGTTTTAAGCACCTTAAACGGTGCTGTCACTGAAGTGTTAGGGGTCAACAGGGTCAGTCTTCCAGTAACAAGGTCCCCTTTTTTATTTTTGAGGGAATGCCAGGCCAGGCTGGATCGCCGCAGATCGGAACATTCCACTGAGCAACTTCAGGGGATGATCGGTAGAGCAGGAAGTGTTGTGGGAAGCATACCTGAACCACACGCTGGCGTTCCTGTAATCTAAAGGACTAGAATTTACATTTGTCACAGTACCATTCACCTTGGCTTAGGCGCTTGTTCAACTAAATATTACGCAGGTACCCATTCGCACGGCCCCTTATAATTCTACTCCCGAGGTCCATTTGGGGCAATAGGCGAATATGGTACCCAAGCATCCCAATTGTCTGTTGTGCTGTTGAGGTTGGCAGTGCTACATATGACATGGTGGACGGGCAAGGGCCAGTTGCCTATAGGAGTACCAACCAAACATATTGGAAATGGGTTACCAGGGGAAGGTAAGGTGAGGCAAATGGCGTTCTGCCCCGCAAGCTTAACCATCATCGCCCACCCGTTGTTCCCGGGCTGCGGAGGCAGACGGCTGGCTGTTTCCGGAGTCTTCGTTACTGTCAGGAAGAGCAGGGGAAGATAAGGACACTGTTTTGGTCCACTTCGCAGGGACCCATTGTGTACCTGTGGATGTAAGCACACACATATAACATCGCCCCATGTACTTCACTTCTGCCGGGCCCTGCCATAGGCCCGTGCTGGGATCACGGTACATGACCATCATGGGTGCCTTAGATTCGGACGCCGCGGCTCGCCTGTGCACTTGAGCAGGGAGAGAGTCCTGATATGCAAAAATGCACAAGTAGTTCAGAACAAACAATGCCTTAGACAGTCTTTCTTGCACGTCGTGAATGTCACTGAACTTTTCAAGGTACCGTTTCAGGGTCTGTTGCGCCCGCTCAACTATGGCCTGTCCCGTTGGTGAATAGGGAATGCCAGTCACATGTTTGACTCCCCATTGTTGACAAAATTGGCGCATTCTCTCACCTACATAGGCAGGCCCATTGTCCGTTTTTATTTGCTGAGGCACTCCCATAACGGCAAAGCAGCTAGTTAGATGCTGTACTACATGGGAACCCTTTTCTCCTGTCTGGGCTGTGGCCCACAGAAATCTGCTATATGTGTCAATTGTGACGTGCACATACTTAAGGAGTCCAAACTGTGGCACATGTGTGACATCCATCTGCCATACTTCACAAGGGCCCAAACCCTGAGGGTTCACCCCGATTCCCAGCCCTGGTCCATGATGGCTACAGCTGGGGCAGGCCCTGACAATGCCTCTCGCTTCCTCCATTGTAATCTTAAATTGACAGAATAGTCCCTTAGCATTCTGGTGAAAAGTGTTGTGGGCCTCCCCGGCCTTTACGAAGTCACTCAGGGGTGCAGCAATGGAAACTAACTGATCTGCTCTATCATTGCCTTCCCCCAACCCCTGTGACCGTTTATGACTCCGTATGTGGATGATGGCGTAAGCACACTCCCGCTGATGAATGGCTGCCTGCAGCTGACGCAGCAGGTCAAACAACCACCGGTTTCGACACTCTCTGAGCCGAGCATCCTCAATGCACTGAACCACACCTGTGACGTACATAGAATCAGAGATTACATTTATTTCTGTGTGATGCCAGTTCAAAAAGGTCCAGACGACCGCCGCTAGCTCTAAAGTCTGCAGTGCGTCCTCTGCTTCCACGGCCAATATCTGCTGGTGCCATGTCTCATCCTGCATCCAGGTCGCCGCAGCACGCCGAGACTTCTTTCCAGCATCTGTAAAAACCGTTACTGCACTAAAAGCTGCACTTGCTCTAGACTTTCCTTTTTCAGCGGCCACTGCTTGACCCACACCGAAGTGTTAGTAGTCCATGTGAGCTGGATCAGGAAAGTCCATTGTGCAGCTACCACTCCTAAAAATGCTGGTTAGTCAGCACCAGTCCCAGCTGGTCTAGCACATCTCGGCCGATTAGGGCATCCACCCCAGTGGGCAACGGCATAATGGTTTCATAGATAGAAGCAACCTGACCATCGACGGCCACCTGTATTAAACCACAGCTGCATTGCACAGAAGCAGTGCCACCAACGCCTTCAACCCCGCCAAGGGTGGGGTGGCACAGCCACCAGTGTGGCCACTTGTCAGTGTTTATTATGGTGATATCGGCTCCAGTGTCCAGTAATGCTGGTAAATTTAGATGCTGGTTCCCTCGAGACCATGTGGAGTCCACTACGAGTCTGGTGGTCATTGGGACAGTTAGCATAACAAGGCCTCCCGTGAAGCCAAATCCTTGGGACCCACGCTTGGCCAATGAACCAGTATCTTGCATTGCAGCAGTTAATTGTGGCAAGGGGACTAGCTGGGCAATCTTGCTCCCTACAGGGATATGAATCGGAGTAAATGATGTTTGAGCTACAATGCAAATTTCTCCAGTAAAGTCTGCATCAATCAGTCCAGGTAATATAAACAGACCCTTCAGTCCACTGGAGGATCGCCCAAGCAGCAATGCTCCATGGGCTTGTCCATTTATCATTAGTGGTCCCCGGACTGCTGTGGGGATCTTACACGGCCATTGATCAATGAGGGTCGCATCTACTGCGGTTGCCAGGTCCAGGACGAGGCTCCCTCTAGTGGCGGGCTGCAGGTCGGCTGCGGGCCGCAGCTCCCGGCTGATGGTGTCGCACTTGGTGCTGGCCACTGGGCGGCAGCTGATGGTGTCGCACTTGGCGCTGGCCACTGGGTGGTGGCCTGAGCAGGGGCCGCAATTGTTATCTGCGCGCGGCGGCCATTCGCGCTCATCTGTCCGTTTCCCGAACAGCTGCAGGCTTCTGTGCTATGGCTGTTTCGGTGACAATTAGAACACCAAACAGTCCTTCTGCAGTTTCGTTTCAAATGTCTTCCGCCACATCTGAAACAACGAAGCTGAGGCTTGCATTCACGTCTTGGTTGTGCCGGCACTACGTTGTTGGACTGTAGAGCACCCAGTGCTGCAAAAGCCTGTACCTGAGCCTGCGCTGCCTCCCTCTGTGCCTGAGCTATCTCTTTTCCCATTTCTCTAGCAGTTTCTACAAGTAGTGCCTGAGCTCCTACTGGCACCCTGCTCATGCGTCCTAGCATAAGTTCTGTGGTGGCATCTGCGGGTAGGGTGACTAAAATACCTTTTGTATAGGTGTTGCTATTTTCCATGACACACTGGCGCAGCAGCGGACCCCTCATATAATCTGGAGTATCCGCTAAACTGATGGCTGTGGTTAGTCTATCCACAAAATCAGCAAATGTTTCATCTTTCCCCTGTTTAATGGACATGTACGAGGGGGTGGGGGGCGCCGTGCGCACTCTCTGCATGGCTTCCCGGGCAGTACGCATGGATTCCAGACAGACGTCTGGCCCCATTTGCACTTGAATGTCTGCACTAGCAAATCGCCCAGTTCCCATCAATTGTTCTGTTGTAACACCAAACAGCGGGTCGTTTTGGCCTCTGGGCAGGTTTGATGATCTATCACAGAGCTGTTGCCAATGCGCCTGCCACAATAGCTGCTGCGCTTGTGTCATGATCATTCTAATTATTCCCTTAATATCTTCAGGGCATAAAACTGTACCGCTCCAAATATAACCTAACATCTGTTTAGTGGGCTCACCGTGCAATCCTGATTCGTTCACCGTACTTCGTAACTGAGTTAAAAATTTCCAATCTAGGTCATAATGGGTTCCCTGTGTTCCTCCCAGTCCATCTGGTTCGTACCGGACTGGGAAGGCTCGCAGGTCTAGATCTCCCGCTAGGGCGTAGTCTCTATTTTCTACTGCGTGTTTCAAAATGGCGCCCCAATAAATCCGGCGCCGAGGCACCGCCCTCTTTCTTTCGGATTCCTCGACATTTATCATGCGTATGGCTTCTAACACACTCTCTCTAACCTTTTCAAAGTCCCTACTGTCGGAATCCCTCTGCTTTTCAGAACTCGACTGGGGTGGTGGGGGAGCAGGGAGTTGCGCATCCTCCGCTGCACCTTCTGATGAGGAGGGAGGGGGAGAAAGGGAGGGGGAAAAACCCTGCGCTCTGAGCACAGGGAGCGCCCCGCAAGTTGGGGGAAGTTGGGAGTTATAATCTTCCCCCGGCCTTAACCGACCGGGGACGTCT